ATCAACAAAAAATGATACATTACAAAGTGTCATTGTGACAGAATGAGAATGACAGATGAGGTCTTGATGTCTTGAGGTCTTTTCTATCTTGAACGAGAGAGAGAAAAGTTCTCTCCTCTTCTATCTCTCTCTGCAATGCTACCAACGTGACCGCATTGAAATATAGAGAGGTTCGATAAATCTTTCCTTGTCTAACATCTACTTTGTGCCGCTGAACTATTTTTCAAATCGGCAGTGTCAAATGTAATGATATTATTAACAAATTATGTCAAAATAGGTATGATATAAATCAAAATTTGGGCGTGTTTTTCATTCCATCAAAGAAAGTGCGCACTGATAGATGCGGTTTTTTGTCGTGACGTCACCAATTGTCCTGTTGGAATTTATGCTGGAAGGATTGAACAATGGTTTATACAACACATTGATGGAAACACGGATTTTGTTGTGCGTCAGTCATCATGTATCTTGAGAATCAGAAGAGGCTTATTCGATTTTATTGATTAACACTGACTCTTTCTTCTAAAATCTCTCAAGAATATCAAAAATCCTCAATATTAATTGTTCTCTATCAAATCAAAACAAAAAACAACACTAAAATGTGTCAACTGTCATGTCAATCTCCTCCAAACTGCTGGATTCTCGAAAAGCGATTTAAAAGTGCGCATTTTATTACAACAGTTTGATGGATGTCCATCAACATTCCAGCGGAATTTTGCAACAGTTTGATGGTTTCTTCGATTCATGCGCATGATAAAATGTTGGAATGAAAAACGCACCCTCATTTTGAAAATTCGAAATGTCATCAGTTAATGACATTCATGACATAGACATATCACGTCATTATAATATCGAAAACGGTAGACGCAAGGTTAGACGATCTCAGTTAGACGCTTGTTTTCTGTTGACTTTGACGACGGTGTTAGGTTAGGAGCCAAAGATCAGCCAGATCATCTGTTTATTATATTATTATATTACAGTTTTCTGATGTAGTGCTAGTACTGCTAGTGCACTGATATTATTATGGATGGACGTTGATGTTGATGTGTGATGTGTGTTCTCAGTGTTTTCCTCTTGAGAACTGGATCTCTTGAAATGAAGGCTCTAAAACTATATTCGAAGTTGAAGTGAGCTGCAACATAGGCCCTAGGCTGAGTTCATAGTGGTAAATTAAAGTGCTAATTACATGGATGCTGATGTTTCCCTTTTGAGAACTGTTCTCTTGAAAGCAATGCTCTAAATAAGGCCATGTTGGAGCCATACCTACATTAATTTTGAAGTCGTGCTGATACCTACCTTATATATTATCAAATTCGTGTTTTTCAGACCAAAATACGTAAGTACCAAAAAAAATTTCGGAAAAAAACCTATGGCTTGATAAATACAGTTTTACCTTATCCATTTCATCCATTTGACTGAACTGATTTTTCCTCATCTGAAAAGACTTCTCAAGTGCAGGAAATATATTTTTGAGACATTAGGTCCTACATTTTCCATTCAACTAGTTCAACCATCAACAAAACAGTTGATTTGGAGGAGATTTGTTGATTCATAATTATAATATAGAATTGAGTTGGTAATTATTATGAAGTTTATTTCTTGTACTAAATAGAATCAAGTAGAGAACATTAATGTAATTTGTTTGAATGGAATACATAAAAAGAAAATATATTATGAACACAACAATAACAAAAATGACCTTCAATAATGCCCTGATAAACCTACGTGAAGTGGGCTGCCAGAGCTGGCTACCAGAATTTCCGAACTTTCCCGATTGACCAGTGGCACGCGTTTCCCCCCTTTTGGGTATGGAATATCGAAATTCCTCACTTGCTTTTGTTCGATGATGCGATGTTTTAAGTTATCTAAGCTCGGAGATGTTGTTAATAAACAAGAACAAAATCAAAACTGGTTTAAATATGCCCACCAGGTGTCGTATCCGAATCATCACCTCCATCACCTTGCCAATTAAATTTGATTGAATGATATATTCCTGAACACCCAGAAACAACTGGTATGAACATGCAGATCATGTCAATTTATATAAACCATAAAATTTCCGGATTCATCTGTTGCTTGGTTTGCTAGGAACGTCTAATTAACGCTCATCGTGAAAAACCCTGTATACCTGGTGACTAGTTGTAAAGTACATTGTATTTCTGGAATATCTGAATACTTTCAAATCCACCCAAGACCCAAGTGTTAAATAAATAACAAACACTTTTTTGCCTATAGCTCTTATTACTCTAGTTAGTTGCATCTACATTACCTTCACCGTGCTAGTATGATGAAGTACCTACTACCTACCTTATTATTACGACCACTTATAATATCTACTTTATCGCTCTAGTGCGGTAAATTTTGTTTCGTCGTTGGTTCTCAAGTTGGTTTCGGGTTTGATTTATGTATTGTGAGTGTGAAAAGTGTTTAGTTTGTTCTTCATGCTCCTGAAGACGTCTTTCTATGAAGACTAGGTAAGTATACAAGATGTTTTTTTCATGGTGAAAAACATTCAATTCAGGTCAGTACCGTCACCGTCACAACACTCGAGCTGTGGGGTGAACAACCCCTAATTTTTGAACAGGGAATGATGGTGGAGTGGCACATCTTTTGAGAGCCCGTTAAGTTCTCTATCCAACGGCGTCCTGATTTTGATGTTGGGATGAACCGAGGGATGAACCGTTTGGGAAAAAATGAATTCAGGAATAAACCTGTTCGATAGTTAAGAGCTTACTTGTACGTAATGTAGCATTTATTTGCAACGATACTGTGAAAGTTTTTGCTCAGTTTTTTTGCGGTACCCATGGAAATATTGCAATAAAATAGAATAAACAGAAAGAACATGCAGTTTCTGTTTTTCACGTGTGTACTACAACTACTACAAGTGAGTTCCATTCGTGTGTGGTATCGTACGATTGAAATGTATTATGTAAACAATAGATGTGCGGAAAGGGCTGCTGAACGGTTCAATCAACAATATGGTAGGACTGTATCGCGACAGTATGTGTCTGAATTAGTATCAAAATTCAGATAAACGATATCGGTAGCAAATAAAAAACGGCAAATCGAACCGCCAGTAAGAAATGAGGCGACAACAGTGGCAATTTTGGGACATGTTGAGGTTGACCATACGTTGAGTACAAGACAGCTAGCAACTGTTTCCGGTATCTCAAGAACTAGCATTCAGCGTATTTTAAAACCACATAAATTCCATCCTTATAAGATTAAATTAACACAAGAACTGAATGAAGATGATTTTGATCGGCGTTTACAATTCTGTGAAGTACAGTGTCTGTTCAACATTTGTTTTGGTGATGAATATTTGTTTTTTTAAATGGCATAGTTAATCGCCATATTGTCGATATTGGGCTGAATCTAATCCCCATATATTCCATGAGGTACATACGCAATATCCCCAAGAATTAAACGTATGGGCTGGTATTTTTGGGGTCATTTGAAAAGCAGAATTTATAGTACACCACCAGCATCACAAGCAGTTTTCCGGCAACGAATCACAGAAGAATGTCGTCAAATCACCCCAGACATGCTTCAAAATGTTCTGGAACGTTTTTAACAAAATCTGTATCATTGCATGGAAGTTGGAGGTGCGCATTTCGAGTATTTGTTAAGATGAGAATAATGTAAGTGAATTTCACTCTTAACTCAATTTTGGCTCATTCCAGTTGGAAAACTTGACGACCGTTGTTTCGAGAATTCAACGGGCTTTCAAATGATGTGCCACTCGACTCCTATTCCCTATTCAAATTTCAAGGGTTGTTCACCCCCCTGCTCGAGGGTTGACGTGACGGTGCTGCATGTAAGATGGCACAATGTCCCCCTCGAAACTAAAATCGACCTGTCCTTAGTACCCAAAACCCGAGCCAAAACCCTCATGTCAAGTTTTCGATGGGCCACCCTGTATAATGAATTATTGGTATTCAAATACTCCACTGTGTGGTTAGGGACCTAAATTAATTTTTGCAACACTAATCACACTTTTTTTATGTAAATAATGAGTGTATGCGTTGTTCAAAATTTTTTAATTTCGGAGCTCATTCCAAACGTACCGTCATAGCCACCATTTGAGTAAGAGTTCTGTCGTTGAATAAAACATAACAGGAGGAAGCCATGATATTATAGTTGATTCTTGACTTTTTTGAGCAACCAGCATGTCAAAATATTTCTTATTCTCCTTAACAAAATATCATGTAGATGTTGGAGACTTGGCAACATTGTGCTGAATGCTGACAAGACCCCGCCCACGCGCCGTGTAGTCACCAGTGTGTATTAATATAATTACTATTCACACAATATCTATTATGAGCAATAAGCCACAAATCATAAGGGAACGTTTTGAGACAATTGAATTTGTATGCTAAATAGGAATATTACCAATAGATAATTGAGAATTTATGAATGTTTGAATAACTAATATTTATGAAGCTCTCAATCGTATTTCAACACTAGGCAACTGTGCTATGGTCTGCCCCTACTCAAGGTTAATAGAAGAGAGATGTTGTCTCGTTGCTGCGCGGTGTACGACGAGAGTGGGGATAGGCACGTCATCGAGAGTGCCAGACATATTGTTTACATCGATTCTTGTACTGTCATCCTGTATAGGTTTTCCTGTTTTACTCCATTTGATTTTTTAGTGAATAAACTGAAATTTCATTTATTCATTTCCTAATTATGTTAATCTGTGTTCATAATAAACGTCTAGATAGTGAACCAGGATGTGGAAGTTCTTTTTAGGGTTGTCATTATTAAAACTATTGGTAGGTACCTACCTATTTGTGCCTTTGCGTCATCAAGAGGTGTTGTATAAACTAGGTATAATATGGTGTTGGTACTAGCAGATAGACATAATTAGAGGTGAAGATATGTCTGAGACATCAGACAAAAAAGCATTCTAGTGTATGTGGTCTCGGGAACAAAAAACGTCGAACTTCTTGCTCGTGGATTTATATTTACATACGGGGGACCTATAAATTGTTCTCGGTACAATGAGCAAGTGCTTACGGTGTCGAAGGGATGCAGTTGATGATAAAGATTCATTCAGGTGTGATGGTTGCAAAAGACTCCTTCATGTGGCATGTGCAAATGTTACTTCAACAGAGGTGAGATGCCTGCAACTCGCTGGAGGAAGGAAGTTGAAATTTTTTTGCGATGATTGTGAGAATGGTTTATTACAAATACCAGTATTGAAAACAATGATGAAAGAACTACAGTCCGAAATTAAGGATCTCAAGAATGCGTATGCATCCTTGATAGCGGATAAAGACAATCATATAAGTGGTCTTAAGTCAGAGATTGAATCATTGAAGATGCGTGGGACATCAAATATCTCATTCGAAACAATGTTTGAAGAACTCAATGAGCGTCAAATAAGGTCTAATAATATCATGATATACAATGTTAAAGAGTCTTCATCTGAAGAGATCAGTGAAAGAATAGAAGCAGATAAAAAGGAGGTCAGTAAAATAATGCAGAAGATGGATATGAGTGAAGCCACGAATAATAGCATTATGAAGATACTTAGAGTAGGTCGTGCAGGTGGCCCAAAACATAGACCTGTCAAAGTAGTATTTTCTAATAACCAAATCGTCAAACAACTATTAAAATCCAAGATGAAATTACTGAGCACGCCGATTAGAATCAGTGATGATCAAACAAGAATGCAGCAGGACATGTTCAAGAAAGTAAAAGATGAATTATCACGAAGACAAGCAAATGGTGAAGAGAACTTAACGATCAAGTATCGAAGAGGCACTCCTACAATTATCGAGAAAGAAAAAAACTAGAGGGCACCCCATTACAAGTTTACTGTCAAAATATTGGTGGCATTCGTACAAAACTACAAGAATTAACTGAATCAGTGTTATGTTCAAGATATGACATCATTATTCTAATTGAAAGTTGGCTCTCAAAGGATATTCTCGATTCTGAAATCAAAGTTTCCTCATACAATGTCTTCAGGTGTGATCGTAGCTGTGAAACAAGCACTAAATCTAGGGGAGGTGGAGTACTGATTCTCATTAAAGACACAATAAAGGCAAGGAAGGTGAAGTCGACAATCAGGTCAATCGAGCAGCTGTTTTTAGTGTGCTGTAATGGTAAAGATAAGTTCTTGATTGGAGGCGTTTATATTCCACCTCAAGCAGCAGAGACCATTTATCTACAACACTGCCAGGCTGTCGAAGAAATCATTATGGAATACAAGCATTGTAAGTCTTTTATTTTTGGCGATTTCAATATACCTGAAGCCCAGTGGACGAATGAAGATACTGGAGTTCTGGTTAATTGTCCTCAAGGATCTCATGCATTGCCTCTAGCACAATGTTATGCATTCTTGAATTGTTATCAAAGAAATGAAATTCCCAATTCAAGAAACGTGTTTTTGGACTTGGTATTCTCGAATGTAAATAACTTAGTTATAAGCACAGCAACAGACCCTCTTTTTTCAAATAGTATGCATCACTTGAGCTACACCTTTAGTATAACAAATTATGAAACTGTCTCCAAAACCTTAGAATACACAGAATTTTACTATGACTTCAAAAATGCTGACTACGACGGTCTGAACAACTACTTAGCTGCCATAAACTGGAACGAAAATCTTAATTTGTTAGATGTAAATGCAGCAACTGAAGAGTTCTACCATATTTTACAATTGGCAATCGCATTGTTTGTGCCTCTCAAAAGATTCAAAACATCTACATTTCCTAAATGGTTTAATGCGGAGTTGAGGTACATGGTCAAACAGAAAAAAATTGCTCACAAACAATACTTGTTCAGTAAAAGCAATCAGGATTATCAAGCCTTTTCAAGGTTAAGATCTTCTTGTAGGAATCTATCAAGAATGTGTTATGACAGTTATATGAGAGATGTGAATGCCAAACTGAATTCTGATCCCAAATATTTCTGGCAATTTATAAAACATAAGAAGTCATCGAATAGTCTACCGTCTACCATGTACTATGAAAACTCTATAGCAGGAAGCAATGAACAAATAGCAGAATGTTTTGCAAATTTTTTCTCTTCAGTTTACGATAGATCTTCAGTTCAACCTGATGACCTTAATTGTGTGAATAATAATTATATTTCGAATCCAAGCTTATCGGTTGATTTAGTATTTGATAAAATTACGAAAATTCCATCTAAACTCAGTGCAGGCCCTGATGGAATTCCAAATATGTTTCTGAAAAAATGTATTTACTCATTAACGTATCCACTATACCTAATCTTCAAGTGTTCATTAGCTCATGCAACTTTTCCGGATGTTTGGAAACACAGTTTTATTGTTCCAATTCATAAGTCAGGAGATAATGATAATATTCAGAATTATCGAAGTGTGTGTAACCAGTCATCTATTCCAAAATTACTAGACAGTTTGATTTCTGACCAGCTCAACTTTTTTTGCAGAGAAAGCTTGATAAATAATCAGCATGGCTTTTCTAGAAACAAGTCAACTATTTCCAATCTTCTGGTATATGAGCAGAAAATATTAAAAGTTTTGGAAGGTAGATGTCAAATGGATGCCATATACACTGACTTCTCTAAGGCATTTGATAGAGTAGATCATCATACTTTATTGATTAAGATTGGTAATTTTGGTTTTTCGGAACATCTAGTGAATTGGTTTAGAAGTTTTCTGACGGGTCGTACACAACAAGTCAAAATCGGGGAATACAAATCAAGAAATATTTTAGTGACATCTGGGGTCCCTCAAGGATCGCACTGTTCACCACTTCTATTCAATATCTTTGTGAATGACATTGGAAGCTGTTTCATAAACTGTGATTTCCTTATGTTTGCTGATGACCTGAAGTTGTTTAGGCCTATAAAGTCTATGAGTGACCAAATTCTCCTTCAAGCAGATCTCAATAGAATGTATGAATGGTGTGTTGTTAACAATTTGTATCTGAATGTCAATAAATGCTACTTTATCTCGTTCTCGAAAGTCGGAAGAAAATTTGATACTTCTTACAACATTAATAATCAGCAAGTAGAATACACATCCTCTATAAAAGATTTAGGAGTAGTTTTTGATGAGCAGCTTAGATTTGTTGAACACATAAACAAAGTCAGTGTGAAGTCTTCTAAAGTTCTAGGTCTAATTACGCGCAATTGGTCAGGTTTATCATTAGAAGCATTAAAAAGGGTTTTCTTATCACTTGTGATTTCTCAGTTGGAGTATGCATCTATTATCTGGTCTCCCATGTATCAGATTCACTCTACTTCCTTAGAGAGAGTACAAAATAAATTTTTGAGATTTTGTGCTTATAGATTAGGTATTCAGATACAAAACCACGATTACTCAGATATTTTACGTGAAGTTAACCTTAAATCGTTGGAAAAAAGAAGAACTCATTCAGATCTTTGTTTTGTATTTAAGCTTCTCAATGGACTTATATCATGTCCGGAATTACTCGAAACAATTAACTTCAACGTTCCAAACAGAAATCTTAGACATAAACTGTTATTTCACTTACCATTCCATTTTACAAATTATGGCAAGCATGCACCCTTGGAAAGAACTCTGAAGTTATTGAACGAAAAAAACATCAATATATTTGGATTGTCGTACGATATGTTTAAAAAATCATTGAGTAGCTTGTAAGTAGAAGAGAGTGGCATTTGATTAGTTATCGAATTTATAGTGTTAGTTTCATAGAGTTTCTAGTCTCATCTATTTCATGTGTTCATGTGTTAACTAGTTAAAGCCATTGTTGGATATACGTTTTATTTACTTATGTGTCTGGTTCACTTGACTGTGTTATTTATATTTGTTGAAGTTATACTGTAATGGGGTTTATCCCGTGAATAAATAAATAAATAAAATAAAAAAAAAAAGATAGTTTATATGGAGAATCTTTGTTAAAAAAACAGGAAAAACTACCAACCTATGTATTATAACTTTCCTACAAGCTGAAATGATACTGTGCGATATCCATTCTACTCCACATAAATTCGTTTTAATATATGTTATCTCAATTAATTAATCAAAGTCATGGATACAGGTTGATCGAATGATCGAATATTTTGGCATCAAAATAAAATTCGGAGTGAGAGTCCATTTTCCACCCAAAGTTCTAGACTGAGAAAATTATGACGTCACCTCTGTACAAATTTCCGTGAGGAAGACATAATTACGGGGAATTCAATTATTCAAATCGTCCTTGAATGGCAAATTTTGTTTATGTCCATTCATTTCAAAAACACCTCGTATATGTATCAACATAAATTATACCTACCTATTATATTCAGTGTTTGATATTTTTTTATATCTAACCTGTTATGTTTATAAAGGGGAAGATAAAAGTCTAGTGATATTTCACAAATCTTCAATATCCCTCAATATACGAGTTATTGGTTCAAAATTGGAACTCACAAAAATGTTCTAATAGTTTATTATTATTTTTTGGATTTTCTGATATATGGAAGGTTACATTCGACAAAATATCAATATCATTGGCTTTGAGATATATATCTATACATAATCGCATCGTTATAAGTGATCAGGGTAGCGCATATCATACACAACAAACAAGGACTTCAAATTCTCGATTTGAAATGGAAATGGGCACTCTGGATGACGCTATCCCGCGCTGGCGCTGATTGATTGGGAGGAACGAGACAACCTATCTCTTCTACCAACCTTGGCCCTTACTTACGAAATCGTGACGTCAGTTTTTACTCGCGATAAATTCAATCCGTTCGAAAATTACCGTGGCATTATTAATGATTTTAGCACCTAAAAATCGACCGAAAAATTCTGAAAAAATGTCAAATTGAAAGGTATTTGAGTGATGATTCTATTTAAAAAATAAAAAATAATAGTCCACTCGCCCATTATAAGAATCTACTGGAATTTTGTTCAGTCAGTATAGCCTTAGTATTCTATGTTACATTCAGTTGTGTATTAACAATAATTTTTTCATTCACAGGTCCCCGTTTTGAAGGAACAACGTTTTCTGTCTGCTAAAGAAAACTAGATCACTGACCTGGCATTCAAAAAACAGTAGAAAATGGATTCAGCTGACTATGTTGCAAACCATCGAGAAATCCGTTGAATACCATATTCGTTTGAGGAAGTTAAGCAGAAAATCTCAATTGACTGAACATGGTAATTCAACAGAAAGAGCATTTGGACAGTAACATCATGCTGCACACTGACGAGAAACCATTCAAATGTGATGTTTGTCAAAAGGGATATAAACAGCAGGCTAGTTTAACTCGTCACCAAATAATTCACACTGGCGAGAAATCTTGTAAATGTGATTATTGTCAAAAACAATTCGCCAGTAAGACTCATTTGGCTTATCACATAAAAGTGCATACGGGCGAGAAACCGTTCAAATGTGGATCTTGTCAGAAAAAATTCGCAACTAAGAAAGATTTGACTAGACACATCAGAGTGCATACAGGCGAAAAACCTTTTGAATGTGATGTTTGTCAAAAGAAGTTTACAGTGCATTATAATTTGACTCGCCACCAAAGAATTCACACTGGCGAGAAACCTTTCGAATGTGACCTTTGTCAGAAGAAGTTTCCTAGTAAATGTAACTTGCTTTCACACTTTGCAATTCACAGCGGTATGAAACCTTTTAAATGTGATTTTTGTGAGAAAAAATTTGCCGGGAGGAGTGGTTTGGCTTATCACATTAGAGTACACACTGGTGAGAAACCGTTCGCATGTGATTTTTGCCAAAAACAATTTTCCGGGAAGAATGGTTTGAATTATCACATTAGAGTACACACTGGTGAGAAACCTTACAAATGTGAATTCTGTCAGAAAAAATTTGTCTTCAAGAATGCTTTGAATAATCACATCAGAGTGCATACTGTTGAGAAACCTTTTAAATGTGATTTATGTCAGAAAAAATTTACAAAACAACTCAAATTGACTGCACATTACAAGGTGCACATAGGCCGGAAACCGAGCCCGAAACATTTCAAATGTGAAACTTGTCCGAGGAAATTTAGAAGGAAGGATTCTCTCACCAAACATACCAAGTATCACACTGATGGAAAACATTTCGAATGTGATATATGTCACAAAATATACATCAAGAAGTACGATCTAATTGATCACATCAAAATACATACTGGAGAGCAACTTTTCGAATGTCATGTTTGCCAAAAAAGAGTCACTACAAAGGTTAAGTTGCTTGGTCACATCACATCGCATATGGGCGAGACACCTTTTCAATGTGAAGTTTGTTGGATGAAGTTCAAACGGAAACATCATTTAACCCGTCACAGCAAAGCTCGTCATAGTGAGGTACCTTTCGAAAGTAATCACTACCCAAAAATTGTTACTGCCCACGATGATACTAGTGAACAATATTCTGAAACAAAGATGGAAAGTTGTTTCATTGATGAATTCGACGATGAAATGAAGACAGAAGTGAAAGAAGAAGCCGTCGAGGATAGTTTTTTACCAACACATTCTGCATTTGACAATGAATGTGTGAAAAGTGAATGTGAAATTGAAATTGTTCATCACAAACTGCAACTACAGTTAGACAACTCGAGACAAATCGTTAAAATCGAGGATAAAGAAGAAGACAGTAATACATCTCAATAGACTTTCATTGAATCGAAAGACATATTAAACATAGTTATTTTCAAATTGGTTAGGTGGTTGTATCTAATAAGATGAAGATTGGTATCATTGCTATCATATACCCTTGCAATCTTTCACAGGGTGACTTTATAAAAACTTTTATCATTTAAGATTCACCATTTAAACATTTAGGACTTGAAGAGTCTTAAGTGGAGACAGTTATAAAAAAATTAAGATTCTAGGGCGATACATGTCGTCTGTCATTACTGTCATCTAGTTTCTGATACAGAACCAGATTTTCAAAGTTTATTGAGTTAGAAACTGGTTGAAAATCAAAATTTCATTTTCTGATATCATTTATTAATTTATATTTATATCCCTAAAATGATATCCACATCCATCATATCCACATCATTTTAAAAGTAATTACTATTCCTTGCCTAACAGAAACTGGCTCACTCCTTGGATCTTTTGCCAAATATGGAGGCAACAGAGTTGCGACATTCTAGTGTATTTTTGATGAACGGTTCAGTATCAATAAGAAGAAAAACAAATATTCAGGAATAACAACACAAGATATTTTGAATTATTTTTGAATGGCGGGAAATTGAGATGTCACTTTTGGATGCGCACTCATTATTCCATCTATGATCATTTATCAGCGCATCTTAAATTGGAAGTTGGTCATCTTCTTAAATCTTAAATGTTAAATCATGGAGTCTTAACACTCTGACTGCCATGTCAGTCGATTTCGACTGACAAAAATTTTACAGCTAACGCCGCAGTCATTTTTTGTTCGCGCGCACCTCCAGGCCGCGCGTTTTTTTCAGTGCTGATGGTTCAGAAATACGTCGAACCATGCACACTCAGTATTCATTTCACGGTACTGACGTGTAGTTCATGTTCATTCGTGTTTCCAAAAACGACTGACACGGCGTGGCAATACACATTTTTTTTCCGTTACCGTTTTTGAAAATCGGTTGTTCCTGATTATCACAATGTAAGTATTTTTTTAGTTACATATGTGAGTCTTGGTGTTCTGTAGTTGTGTGGATGACTATATTAGGTCATAAATTGAAGTGAAAAAGATAAACTGATTAATTTTATTGTTTTTTATAGGAGTTGGAATTTGAGAAAGCCCCTCTTTTCTCAAGAACTCCAAGAAGAAAATCTATCCGACGAGGAGTTTAGCGATTTTTCGGACTTCTCTGACATTGACCCAGATTATAATAACTCTGATAGCGAGTCGAGTGGTGTATCCAGAGATGAATCCGATGAGGATTCGAGTTTATCAGACGGTGCAGAAGTAGTGGAAAATGAAGATGATGAAAACGATACTGCACCAGATCCCGCAAGTAATCAATTCAAGTTCTCTTGGTACGAGTATTCTGGAAATCACCAAACATTGCGATTTACTGGAAATGAAGGTATTCAAGTAGATTTAGCAGAAAATCTAAGACCTCTGGCTGCATTTGAACTGTTTTTTTCTCATGAGCTCATAGGTCTCATAGTCGGAGAAACAAATCGCTATGCAGCCTATATAATTGCCAATACGAATGTTACTCGCAAATCAAGACTGAATCAGTGGTACCCTACAAATGAACAGGAAATACGTAAATTTGTTGGCTTCTATATTTGGATGGGATTGAATTGTCGTCCAGCTATTACATCGTATTGGTCAACCGATGTGCTATACAAAAATCAGCCATGTCTATGGTAAATGCATTCAACATTTATAAAGAACATACCCATTCGAAATCGAATATCAATAAATTCAGAGAAGACGTAGCCAGAAGTTTATTATCCGGAAATGATGCCCATAGAAGGAGTCTTATTATGATACCCAAAGTAGCACATTTATTTGAAAAAACTGATGAGAAAACTCGGAAGCAGTGTAAAACTTGTTATACCAACCTAACAAAAGTAGTGTCAAGAGCAGAAGCGAGAAAAAAAGTAAGGAAAGTCCGAACATATTGCGATGGGTGTGATGAAAAACCTGCAATGTGCCAAGAGTGCCATATCAAAAATCATAGTTCATAAGTTAATTTATCTTCAACAATGTAAGAGATTTAGAATAAAGAGTTTCACATAATTTTCAATTGATATATTTTTACTTGAGGGACGTCAGGCGCCGCGAAATTTTGTAGGCTTATGAAATACAGCGCTGCGATTCCGATGAGCATATAAAATTTCATATAAAGTCAGTCTAGAAAACCTGACACGGCCCCGAATGATAGTGGTGGTGTCAATCATAAACGACTGACGACGCAAAATTATGCATAATAATCTGTCAGTCATATACGACTGACAAAACGAAATAAAAAAAACAAAAATTAGAATGCCGGCAGTCAGAGTGTTAAATGGTTTTATAACATAACCAATGATATTTCCATGTTCCATATAAAATGACCCTCACTTGTTAATTTTCATTGTAATCTAATAATAGTATATTACACACCGAGGTGGAAAGAGATTCATTCCTGTCGTGAGATTAGTTAGTTAACCGAGACGCTATAATCTCGAGACAGCAATGAAACTTCCTACCGAGGTTTGTATACTTTTTCGATCAAGTTGATACATTTATTTTGTTCTCGCCCTGTATACAGAGAGTACCCACTATAATGGTTATCAATAGGAATAGCTTTTAACATCACCTGCGAACTAGTAGATCCTTGATCGGTTGTGAATTCCTGCAAACATTTTCACCCTCACACACATAGCTGCCCTATCGATGAAGGTCACTTTCGTCACAGGTTCACTGCATTCATTTAACACACACTACACTGCAGAATATTCAAAATATAGAGCGATCGTTCACTTCGAAGCTGTTTCAGCTATTTTCGTATTTTTCGGTAGGTAAACAATGCGATTTGTCTCGGGGTCTGCGGATACCATTGCCGAGTAGTTGGCTGTAACTGGGTTGACCGTCGTCCGCTGAAAATCAACAAAATTATTAGTAGGTGTCGAGTTCCTATCGGGCGATATTCTTACCTTCTTTCTAGCAATCATTGGGATTTTGCGAAATAAAACCATTTTTCTCACTGACATTCAATAATAATAACATTGTAGGTTAATTAATATTAGTATCTGTCAATCGTTGGGATAGATCGGATTGTTCACCGCTGCCAACTTATATTATCTAGTGACAAAGTTTAGTGTAAGAATCTAGGGGAGTTTCGAACCCACTAGAATCAGTAGAATCTCGTACATAGTTGTACATCGTTAAGGGGGGGTTTGTTTAATATAATTTGGGTTTTATTAGATAGGTATTGTTATCTCGAGAGTGCAGATGCCATAAATTACGTTTGGCATGACTTCGTTTACCGAATTGATCATGTATTTTTCTGATCTGTCAAGTAGGGAATTTTATTGTTGTGAACCTAGAGTTTTGGTTCCTACAGTTGTCGATTCGTTTTTGGGAACTGGTTGGATTGACCAATAATGAGTAATATCGTCTGTCAATTTATAAGTAGACCAATGAGGTACTAGCGCGGCGCTTGGTTTTAGTGAGGTACCAATCAGACCAGGTATTGTGCTTGGAGTGGTGGTGCACTATAAAAGCGACCGGCACCAAGACTGAGGGGTCCAGATAATTTTATTCGGCCGATGAAGGTATTTTCATTTCGTCGTCACGTCGGAATTTTGCTCATGGGAGCACCCTTAGGCTAAAAGGGGATTAATTAATTCGATTGTGAATTTCATCAGGGGATATGTGTTAGAAGCTTTTGTGTGCCGTGTGGCCGTCTTGTTGATAACTCCGCTGATGGAAAAGAAAGCCGAAGGCCGACCACTTTCGTGAGCCCACCTGCCATCTTGGGTATGTTAGCTTCCTGGCTTTTCTTTTGTTTTTCTTTTGTTTTTCTGTCATGCTTGATTCACAAATGGGGTTTTCTTTATATTACTTAGGCTCTTCGTGGGGGTACTATACCTACCAAGCAAAATTGCTGGTCCACATCTTACTGTTGAAAATCGAGTAGTCTCGAAGGGGGACACATCTATATGGAGGTGCTGTGGCTGCCACTAACATAGTAGTGTAGCTGCCAAAACGAAACTGCTGCCACTACTTTTGCTGCTGATCATTGGGGAGTACAATTAGGGGATCTTTGCCATGACTGTAGGGTTCAGACTGCTTTGGCCCTATATGGAGTTTGCTGTTTGCTGCATAGTGTACTCAAGTACACCTGAATTCCAGCTAAGTACCACTACTTGGTTAGGGACACAATAAAATTTCACATGGCGTTTTACTTCTCATCTCACCTGATAATGTTTTTTTAACTATTAAGCTACTTACTTTATAGTATTCACTACCTGTTGTAAGTGACTGCGCAGTTACCCCTATTTTGAGCTGAATTCATTGTTCCATTTTTTTTGTTGTTTTATACACCACCATATGCACTCTTCTAGTCATATTGGTGCGTAACTTGCAATATATATACTTGACAATCATGTTAAATTAATCCATCAGTAATCATTAGTATGCTCACTCTCTCTTATAGTTGATTGAAGGATTGATGTCTTATCAATATATTATTATTTTGTTTTAATGCACTTTGGTGTTCCTACTCTGCACTCTTGAAACTACTATTATTAAAAGTCATTACTGAGGTGTTACTTTGTTGTTTTTTTATATATGCCCCTAGGTGACAATTCTGATGAGGTAAAGTACTTTTAGGTGAGCTTGGCCAATTGTCTGGCGCTCAATCCCACATCACAGGTAAAAAGATAAGTGTAATCACGAATCCACCCCCTAAATAGCCGGAGCTCACCATTTCATTATTCAACCAATAACTGAGTAATACTTTTGGATATATTACATCCTAAAGAAGGAATTAACTGTAACAGATTTTTGGCCGACCAACGTGTGGGGCCCTTTTTCTTTTTTTTCATTGTGATCACTATAAGAGAGAGTTGGAATACAGTTTTGATATTTAGATTTTTTTTTTGAGGGGGAAAGTACTGGTACAGTGGACAGGTGTTAAAAAAAAAATGCAGATGTTCATATGCATGTTTCTTTTCAGAGATTACTCGTACTAGGGTGTAGATTCATTCCACACTCGTTTGGTGCAAGTCTTATACTTGATCCAAACCATGGATTTTGTTTATAGTGGTTTACTTTTCAGAATCTATGTTTCACTATACCTATTTGAAGCTGCTTGAAAGGTAGTAGGTATATAAAGGAATAGGTCTGGTTGACAGAACCCTGTTCATGTAACATTCAATAACAGGGTGATTCACTTACCTTGTCAAATCAAGTTATATAATATCACGATTTCTAGTGAAGCATTTTCTACAGTGCATTTTGCTTGAGGCGCTCTTCAGGGAGCGTCATCTCTTTGAAAAAAAAATCCTTTGAGTTTTTTTGTTACAGGGTGGTCATTTCTACCGTGTAAAATATAGGGAGATATTCCACACTGCTGGAATAGTGCATTTTTCGATAGTGCAATTTAGGTGATTCTTAGGCATTTTCTAAGTATAAATGTAGATTTTTTTTTTAAATTTTATTTAATTTTTACATTTTGGGTATATGGGGTGATCTAACTGACCTTGTTGGATTCAGTATATTTAATTATCCACGTAATATTGAGTGGTGCATTCACTAGAAGTGCAGTTTGATAATACTCACATTTGTTGAGATATTTATTTTTCTGCTCACATACAGGGTGATTGCATTGTGCAAGACTGACTTAGTGACACAAGTTGACTTGGTTGATGGGGTAGTTGTGTTGAGGAATGTTCGGACTTTCGCCACTGGATTGAGATCACTTAGTACACTTGGTAATTATACAAGGTGGAGCATTTTTTTTTCCTCTTGCTTAAGTTTTTTTATTGGAGTATGATAGTTATATTCAGCTTCTGATGCCCCGTTTGATTAGCATTAAAAGTTCTACTTTATACCGAGTGGCTCAATTTAGAAAAAAAAAATAGAAATAAAAATTTCTGAACCGTGTGTACGATTTATTAGTGAGATAGTGGACTCTTTTTGTACAGGAGAGTGTGTAATTTTTTTTTCCCGATATTATTTGATCTTACTCAACAAATTATGTCGTTTAAAATGGAATGTGGCCGTTTGAGCAAATCGGAATTGGTTTATGAATTGAAGATAAGAGGTCTCGAGGATGTTGGTACCATGGAGGAAATGCGGTCTACTCTTCGAAGATTAGTTCGTATGGAGAAGGATGGGGAATCACTAAAGTATCCGGAATATCAACTAGTGGCTGATGATGAATTAAAAATATGTGAAGTGAAATTAGATGATCTTGGGAAATTACTGTCGGACTTGACTACCGATGAACGTAGCAGCCCTTTCAAGAAAATTGAAACTAAACTTCAACATACACTAATGAGGGTGGATAGGATTCCCACTACTACTGAAGAGGAAAAAAAGAAACGTAGTAAGCTGCTCGCTAAACTGTTGCAGTTAAAGACCCAGTTATTGCAGAGGGGTAAAGATATTCGTAAGCAGTCTGCTTCTATTCTGAATATCAGTATGATAGCTCCCCAAACAGCATCATTAAGTTCAGGAGAGTCTGATGATGACGTAACCCCCATTCATAATTCGACTCAGTTCGCTCAAACCTCTTCATCAGGAAGATCAGTACCAGTTATAAAATGGAACGTTACTTTTTCGGGACGTCCGAAGGATATGTCAGTTTTGGCCTTTATTGAGCGTATTGAGGAACTCAGTGTAGCTCGACGTGTTTCCAAGCAGGAACTGTTTGAATCGGCGTCAGATCTTTTTACAGATCACGCTCTTGTATGGTTTAGAGCTAATCATCATAAATTTCTCAATTGGGATGGACTTTGTAAGGGTCTCAAGGAACAATTTTTGGAGAGGGACCATGACGAAAAATTATTTCAGCAGATCAAGGAGAGGAAGCAGCGAGAGGATGAGCCTATTGGGATATATTTTGCCTATATGAGGAATGCTTTCTCCCGCTTATCAGTGGATGTACCGGCAATGACCCAGATGACCATTCTGCAAGGGAATATCAAGCCATTTTTCCAAATGGCCATACTTCGTGATGAACCAGGGTCTATCGATGAGTTGGAGACTTTATGTGTGAAACTTGAGAGGAAATGTGCCTCTATCGATTCGTTTGCGACTTCAAGTTCTTCGAAGAAATGGTCTGTGGAACCGGATTTAATGTATATCGAACCAGAATCATCCTCTAATAATGAACCGAGGCATAATGTTCAGAGATCCCCAGGACCTGCAGTGAATATGACATGTTGGAATTGTAATAGGGAAGGTCATAGAGCCACGGAATGTCGACAGCCACAAAGAAGGTATTGTTACCGTTGTGGGACGCCTAATGTCACGAAGCGTGATTGTCCGAAGTGCAATCCGACGGGAAACTCAAGAAGGAGCCATTGATAGGTCGGTCAGTGGATTCCTCGATATCGACTATAACTACTCCCAGCCCTCTTGTTTTGCAAAATAAAATAATTATAGATTATATTTTGAGCCATGTTGGACAGGATCAGAGACCTTATTTGGAAGTTTCCGTTCTAGGAATTAAGATGCTGGGATTGCTGGATAGCGGGGCTAGCCGCACAGTAGTTGGCCGACGAGGTTGGTCTCTTTTGCAGAATTTAAATGTCCCATTGAATAGTACGGATTCTCCATCGTGTACTATGGCGAACGGTGCTAAGTGTCAAAGTTATGGTTCAGTGTCAATTCCTATTCAACTCATGGATAAAGTTAAGCTTATTAGTGTTTTAGTGCTACCAGACCTAGATCATGTACTTATTTTAGGCAGTGATTTTTGGATGCAGATGGGCATTGTACCTGATCTAAGGAGGGATGTTTGGAAATTTTCTAGTTGTGATGAGATTTGTGAGCTGCAAACTTTGGAAGCCAACTTAACTTTAGCACAGCGTACACAGTTCGAGGTTTTTATTAGGGAAAAGTTTAATATGATGGGAAATTCCATTGGATGTACACAGTTAGTAGAACACGAAATTTTAGTAGATGGACCGCCGATTAAGCAACGTTACTACCCTGTCTCGCCTGTGGTTCAGCAACATATTAATGAAGAGTTAGATAAGCTTTTGAAAAATGATATCATAGAGCCTTCGTCGAGTGCTTGGTCGTCTCCGATATTACTGGTGCCTAAGAAAGACGGTGGATATAGATTTTGTGTAGATTTCCGTCAAGTAAATAAGCGGACAAGGAAGGACGCATATCCCTTACCCTATGTTTCAGCCATTCTGGACCGTTTACGTGGAGCAAAGTATCTCAGTAGTCTGGACATAAAATCAGCATATTATCAGATTCCATTGAAGCAGAGTAGTCGTGAGTATACTGCTTTCACAGTACCTGGGAAAGGGCTATTTCAATTTAAAAGGTTATGTTTTGGGTTGTCGAATGCTCCTGCTTGTTGGCAGCGTCTAATTGACAGAGTGATTGGACCGGACTTAGAGGATCACGTATTTATTTACTTGGACGATATCATCATTATCTCTTCCACTTATGAGGAACATATGGATATTCTGGAGAAGGTTTTTTCTAGACTTATTACCGCGGGTCTTACCGTGAATCAGGAAAAGTGTCAATTTTTCAGGGCAGAGTTGAAATATTTAGGTTATGTGATAGATAATCAACAAGGTCTTCGAGTCGATCCAGATAAAGTACAGGCCATACTGAATATACCTACCCCTACTTGTGTGAAGGATATTCGTAGTTTCTTGGGAACCGCCTCGTGGTATAGGAGGTTCATTGAACAGTTTTCCAGTATTATCGCGCCATTGACGAATCTTCTAAAGAAGAAGCAGAAATTTGTTTGGTCTACAGCTTGTGAAGAAGCTTTTTTGAAGCTCAAGGAATGCCTGGTTAGCGCTCCTATTTTGACTACGCCGGATTTTACGAAACCATTTAATGTTAAGACTGATGCCAGTGGTTATGGTTTAGGAGCGGTCTTAACACAACTGATTGACGATCAAGAGAGGGTTATTTGCTATCTTAGCCGATCTTTGACACGTCAAGAAAAAATGTATACTACTACGGAACGTGAATTGTTAGCCGTACTTTTTGCCTTAGAAAAATTGCGACCATATTTAGAGGGATCCGAATTTACCGTTGAGACTGACCATCATAGTTTAGCTTGGCTGGATAATGTAAAAAATCCACACGGAAGGCTGTGTCGTTGGGCCCTTAAGCTGCAACAATATAATTTCCGGGTGATACATAGAAAAGGTCGTGATCACGTAGTGCCAGATATGTTATCGAGGACTGTGCCAAATATTGATACTCTGATTGAGGACCCACCCTTAAATACTTTTGGACACACTTTTTTGGACGTAAATGATCGATGGTATCAGAAATTGAAGGCGAATATCCAGAGTGACCCTTTGAAGTTTTCTTGTTGGCGAATACAGGGAGGATACCTGTTTAAATATGTGAAATGTAAGATTCCTGAACTCAGTGACGAGTCTGATTATTGGAAATTAGTAGTACCGAAAAACTATCGTCAAGAGATTTTGAAAGAAGTTCATAGCTCCAAATTAGCAGCCCATCCAGGGATATTCAAGACTTACGAAAAGGCTTGTCTTCGTTACTATTGGCCCAAGATGCGGAGTGACGTCACTCATTATGTGAATCGTTGTGTAACATGTATAGGAAATAAAGCTGTTCAGCAGAAACCGGTTGGAAATATGGGTACTGTGACAAAACCCCTTATGGCGCCCTCTCCTAGGTGCCAATGACACGAATGACCCATCTATCTGTGGTCATTCATCGCGCCCGATAATTCGGTGCAGTGCCCTGTATAGCGTTCGATCTCGATCTGTATGAGGTCCCGGCAGGCACTGATTACGATTTTGGTATGAAACCGATCGTTCGAAGTGAACGAAGGTGTTGATGTGGGAGCGTGTAATGGCTGACCTGTGTGCTAGTTGAGTCGTTGTCAATTCTTCGTGGTGTAACAAGTTATTCCTTTTTGGGTAGCCTTTGAATGTGGTATGAATTCACCTGCCTGCAGTTGTGAAGCTCTACTGGAGTCTGGTATCTAGGTGAGTGATAATGTTTAATGTGTTTTCGTGATTACAAAGCCACGGGCTGAAGCTTTTGGTTAAGTCTTGTTTCCCGGTCTCGGGCCGAATGATTTAATTAGGATTGATTCAATTTTGTTGGTGATTAGACTACTTGCGAGTGTAAATGCTTTCTCGGTGATATTTCAACCTGAAATTGTTTTTTGAATCAATGTTTCTGTAAATTAACCTCCAAATTATGATGAACGGTATCGAGGATAGTGATTTTTCTCTTTGTATCTAGCTTGGAATCGCTTCGGGACCCCATAGAGAAACGCAACCAATCACCATCGCCGAACCGTCCTAAAGTGCAAATAATCTGCCGTCCTCAAAATAAACTGGTCACCCCTGTCAACCCTGCGTTTTACTTCCTCTGCTTGCCAACACACGCACCCTGAGATAACTAAGCTACAACCACCGCTGGTGGATAGTGGTTTCCGTAGCATCTGGCACCCGACTTAGGGGCAAGCAGGAGGTATACAGGGTGGAATCCAGATTTTCATCCAACTGAAAAATGCCACTGGGGAGGTCTCCCAGTGAGGGCTACAAGACAAGGAGCAGAACGAGATATCCTACAGGAAGTATTCCTGAAACATCATCTGGAACTTTTGGCAGTATGGAGGTAGGCCAGGACGTAGTACAGCCAGGTGGGCAAAACACTCCACAAGGTAGGAGATCTTTATTATTAAATGTTGGTGAAAAGGAACTGGCTGGTGTAGATCACCCCCAAACAACATCAGGTCCAGAGAGGGGTGAGGTGCAGCAGTTGAGTGAGTCCAACTTGAGAACATCCTCAGGTGCTCATTCAACAAACTTTCAATTACCATCAGAGACAAATTCACCAGCAGAGAGAACTAACATGCCAAGTTTGTTTAGTCAAAATAATCAACCAGTGCTTAGTAAAACATTGCAAGACTCACAGCCACATGGCGCATTTGCTAGAAGTTTTTCTGAGTTGAATATCAACAATAATAGTAGAGGTTTAGGCGGACATATAGATAGCGAAAATTTAAATTTCGAAAAATTCAATAGTCATTTACAGGGTGGTGCACAAAACGCAGTGCCACACAAGGTGACCATTGATGAGAATTTTGGTTTTCAACCACCACCAGTTGAATTAAGTCCTAGCATTAGGTTTATTGATAACTCTAGAAGAGATAATGTTAATGTCCAAATTCCCTATTTTAATATACCGGGTGTACCTACTACAGGGCATAGCAATGTAAGGTTAGATAATAATCCTGGATCACAAGCAAGGCTAGGTGTATTTGGTGAAAATGTAGTTTTTCCTAGAAATGAGAGTGAAAATATTAGTGCGGATATACAGGGTGTCCGAGCAAGTCGACAGCAAAATTCAAATTATGTAAATAATCATCAAGCGTTTCCACCCAATACAACTGGTTTTCCATGCCATGGCAACACAAATGTTGGAAGCCAAGGTCATATTAACCCTACTTATAGCGCAAATGTGTATAAAAATGTAAATTTAGGACCAAGTAAGGTTTTTTCTGACACATCGAGGAGTCAGCCTCAACATACAAATGTAATGGGGCAGGAAAGTTATTATAGGCAGGGAGCCAGTGCTCAAAATAACACTTCATCAGGAGCACAGCCCGTGATGACGGTATTAAGTGAACAACAATTCATATCATTATTAGATAAAGTGGTGAACTCGTTGCAAAGAAATGTCAACCTACAAGGTGTCACACCTGCCCAGACTTCAGATCCAGAAGAAGCGACGGTGGTAGGGATGTCTAGAGATGGTGGTATGAGTGAATGGAATAAAAGGATCCCGGTGTTTGATGATGAAAGAGGCACACATCCGGTTGAGTTTGTCAAGGTGATGGAACAATGGTTCCGGTTGGAAAAGTGGTCCTTTAGTAATTTTAAATTGGTGTTAGGAAATCAGTTGAAGGGCAAAGCTTTTTTGTGGGGTCAGGCGTATTTGCAGTGGTGTCACAATTTTGAAGATTTTCAAAACGCGTTTATCTCCCATTTTTGGTCAGAAACTAGGCAGCTGGAAGTGAGGTTAGAGTTGCAAGCAGCTAGGTATCGGGAATCAAGTGGTTCACTAGTAGATCACTTCATGAAATATTTAGTGAAAGCCAAATATCTAGAACCACCATACTCGGAAAGGTTGTTGATCCAAACCATTGCGAGACATTTTCCCCCGAGCATTTCGGCGGTGTTGGTAGGGACAACCACGTTTGCTGATGCAATGGAAAGGCTGAGACAAGCAGACTATTATTTTAACAACGAGCCTCGAGGCCAAAGCGTGATTAGGGGTCCATCGGTCGGACATGAAGGGCGATACAGGCCGAATACTGGTGGTGAAATGAGTCGTACATCGAGGGGAGCGTTTCCTAAACGTACTGACTATCATACCGGACCGAAACAAATCGCAAACCTTGAAATTAATAGGGAGAGTGAGGAAAAAGATGAGGAGTCGGGAAACGGGGAGGAGTCTGCCCAACTATAGGTCCGGTTGTGCAGGCTGTGTTAGGTAGGGCATCCCACGGAATTCTGGACACCAAAGAGGATCTGTTAACCGAATGTGAGGGCGACCACGAAACATTAAACTCAAGGTGTCCGGTAATCAGTATATTGATTTTCGATTGTCCATTTCCGGCGTTAGTCGACTCCGGAAGTGAAATTTGTGCGTACGGGGAAGAAGTATGGACGGGAGTTTCAGAATTCAAAAGTCAAATGCCTACGTTTGCGTGCTCCGGGGTAAAGGTTTCGGGGGCGTTCAAGATGAAACAACGTCGAGTGGTCCACCAATCGTTAGTGACTTTTTCAATAACAGATAGGGTATTCCATCACGAATTTTTATACATCCCGGAGTTAGCGTACCCCGTCATCTTAGGTACCGATTTTTTGCGCAGAGTTCAAGCGATTATTAGCTTGGAGACCAACGAACTGATTCTTAAGATAAATGGCGACCGAATTGAGGTGCCGGAACTCGACGTAAGACACACTCTCGGTTCAGTGGGTCCGGTAAATCTCAGAGCTATTCATACTCGCCAAGAATCGAAAATCGCGTTTTTGTCCAACCCAATGAGCGATGAAGACGAAATTGACGCCATTTTGGCGGAATGTGGGCTAGTCGCCGAAGATAAGGAAAAGTTTCGCGAGTTGCTGACCAAGCATGTTGGGATTTTTTCGGACCATCCGGGTCACACGAATGAATATACGCATCGAATTAAAATGAGAATAGACCAACCATTTTTCAAAAAACAGTACCCGGTACCCATAGCTCACAAAGCCGCCGTACAAAAGCAGTTAGATCAGTTGGAAGAGTGGGGTATTATAAAACGTCGCGCAACGCAGTACGTCTCGCCCATCATGACTACCCTTAAAAAGGACAACTCGGTCCGGATATGTCTAGACGCGAGGTTTTTGAATACTCTTATGGAAAAAGAATATGAAGCACCCCGGTCTATGGAAGAAATCTTGCATACCATGGGGCCAATACGGTTTATGTCCAGTATCGATTTCACGCAAGGTTATTATCAAATTCCTTTGTCAGAAGATAGTCAGCAATATACGGGTTTCCAATTTGATGGCAAGACCTACGTCTTCTGTAGGTTACCATTCGGCCTTTGCACGAGTGTCAGCACGTTCATGCGCTGTTTGACCACTATATTAGGTCCCGAGTTTGACGCGTTTGTCACGATTTACGTGGACGATATTCTGATCATTTCGCAGAATCTCGTGCAACATCTCGAGCACCTAGACGCGGTTTTAACGCGGTTAGGACAAGCTGGATTTACCTTACGTCTAAAAAAATGTTCGTTTTTTCGACAGGAGATGCAATTCCTTGGGTATCGCATTACTCCTGAACATATTCGAGCCGATCCGTCTCGCGTACAGGCGTTGCAGGATTATTCCCCTCCCCGGAATGCCAAGCAGCTCCAGCGATTTTTGGGCCTGGCCAATTTTGATCGGTCGTTCATGGAGAATTTTTCAGCTGTCGCGGCCCCATTAACGGACTTATTGCGGAGTAAACGACGTTGGCAATGGACTGAGGTAGAGCAGCGGGCATTTGAGGACCTGAAGGCGAGTCTGTGTAAAAATACTTTATTGTACCATCCTCGAAATGATCTGCCGTTTTGTCTGCAGACGGACAGCTCGGAAGTGGCCCTAGGCGCCCACCTATTCCAAGTTGTTGACGGGGAAAATAGGTCAGTAGCTTGGGCAAGTCGCCGGTTGTTGGATCGAGAGACGAGGTATTCTATTAACGAGCTGGAAGCGTTAGCGGTGGTCTGGGCGCTTCAACGGTTTCGAATTTTTCTGTTGGGTAAGGAGTTTAAAGTATACACGGACAATAGTTCAGTGACCTATTTGAAGACCTGCAGACTCTTATCAGCGCGGGTTTCTCGCTACGCCTTGGCGTTGCAAGAGTACGATTTCACCTTAGAACATGTACCCGGTTCGAAAAATGTCGTTGCAGATTCGTTGTCGCGGTTTACCTTGCCTCGTCCGCCGTCACCTAGCAGCAAAGAGTTCAAAATTCTGTCCATGGTTCAGTTTCCCGTGGAGTTAAAATCACTATTGAGAGATTTCGGTCAACGGCAAAGGGCAGACCCGAAATTAGGCGATATTCTGGCGAAGTTGTCGAATGATGAAAACTTGCAGACACGTTTCGCAGAGCATGCAGGGCTGCTCTATATAAATGGTGGTCCAGATTCTTATTACCGGTTGTGCATTCCGAAAAGTTTGGCACCGGTGTTCGTCAAAGCATTTCATGAGCAGCTGGGTCACTTTGGGCGCTATAAAACTTGGAAGGCGTTAAAAAATGAAGTCTGGTGGACCAATATGGGCCCGGATATCAAGCGGACGTTACGAGAGTGCGACATTTGTCAACGGTCGAAAACTTCACTACTTCCTCAAGCGCAAATCCGTCCAATTATTCCTGAAGGCAAGGGGGATTTGGTGGCGTTAGATCTTTATGGCCCACTGCCCCCTAGTCGAGGCGGTGTTGTATTCATTTGTGTCGTACTCGACGTATTCACTAAGTTTGTTACATTCTACGCATTGAAGAAAGCTACGACCCGGGCTATTCTGAACCGCTTGGAGAGGGATTACTTTGAGAAGTATGGTATTCCTAGGAGGATCCTCTCGGACCATGGAACGCAGTTCAATACTCCTAAATGGAGGGACGCGCTAATTGCGGCGGGAGTGCAGGTGGTGTTCTCATCCATCCGCCACCCCCAGTCAAATCCGAGTGAGCGTACTATGAGAGAGATTGGTCGGTTATGTCGGACTTATTGCGCTGGGCAGCATACTCGGTGGGCAAATGAGTTGCCCCGTTTTGCAGAATTTCTCAACAATCTGATACATGAGACGACGGGATTCAGTCCGGTGGAACTCCAGCTTGGTGTAGCTCCGTCACGAGTTCTACCCGACCAATACCGGGGGCCGGTGGTAAACTCACCAAAAACATCTACTGAACAGAAACTCATCTTGGCCCGGGAGGCTTTGCAGAACAAGGCCGCCCGCCGAGCCGGACGGAGCTCGTCCAAACGGAATGTAGAGTTTGAACCTGGGGATCTGGTATTGCTGGAAGCCAATCCGGCGTCGTCGGCGCTCAAGGCCGTCACTAAGAAGTTCTTGCCGCTTTTCGAAGGGCCGTATCAAGTGAAAAAACGCGTCAGCTATGACACTTACGTCCTTTTCGATGCAGACAAAGGAGTGGAGCGGGGATTGTTCCACGTGAGTCATATCAAGCGATACTTTCCCCCGAGTGAGCACGTTGGCCTGTAACTAGGGTCATGGGAATTTCCTGAGGGATCTCCCCCTCCTCCCTAGGATTTGTCGGAGGAGATCGGTGGGCAAGATGTGACAAAACCCCTTATGGCGCCCTCTCCTAGGTGCCAATGACACGAATGACCCATCTATCTGTGGTCATTCATCGCGCCCGATAATTCGGTGCAGTGCCCTGTATAGCGTTCGATCTCGATCTGTATGAGGTCCCGGCAGGCACTGATTACGATTTTGGTATGAAACCGATCGTTCGAAGTGAACGAAGGTGTTGATGTGGGAGCGTGTAATGGCTGACCTGTGTGCTAGTTGAGTCGTTGTCAATTCTTCGTGGTGTAACAAGTTATTCCTTTTTGGGTAGCCTTTGAATGTGGTATGAATTCACCTGCCTGCAGTTGTGAAGCTCTACTGGAGTCTGGTATCTAGGTGAGTGATAATGTTTAATGTGTTTTCGTGATTACAAAGCCACGGGCTGAAGCTTTTGGTTAAGTCTTGTTTCCCGGTCTCGGGCCGAATGATTTAATTAGGATTGATTCAATTTTGTTGGTGATTAGACTACTTGCGAGTGTAAATGCTTTCTCGGTGATATTTCAACCTGAAATTGTTTTTTGAATCAATGTTTCTGTAAATTAACCTCCAAATTATGATGAACGGTATCGAGGATAGTGATTTTTCTCTTTGTATCTAGCTTGGAATCGCTTCGGGACCCCATAGAGAAACGCAACCAATCACCATCGCCGAACCGTCCTAAAGTGCAAATAATCTGCCGTCCTCAAAATAAACTGGTCACCCCTGTCAACCCTGCGTTTTACTTCCTCTGCTTGCCAACACACGCACCCTGAGATAACTAAGCTACAACCACCGCTGGTGGATAGTGGTTTCCGTAGCAGTACTCGCCCACAGATTTCAAGACCATTTGAGTTGATGAGTTGTGATATTATAGGACCTTTACCGCGGAGTTCGCGTGGCTTTAATCATATTTTAGTAGTATGTGATTATTTTTCGAAATTTGTTCTAACTTTTCCATTGAGATCAGCAACAGCTGCATCTGTTTGTAGACAGTTAGAAGATAATGTTTTTCTCTTATTTGGCGTTTGTAAATATATGATTGTAGATAATGGGGTACAGTTTAAAAGTAAACAATTTCAAAAATTATGTAAAGATTTTAATGTAAATATCATGTATAATGCAGTATATCATCCACAGAATAATCCAACAGAAAGGGTTAATCGAGTCGTCAAGACTATGTTGTCATGCTATGTTCAAGAGAACCACCGTCAGTGGGATTCATATCTTCCGTATGTCTCTTGTGCCATTAGGACGCAAATTCATGAAGTACTCGGTTATACTCCTTATTATGTGAATTTTGGTAGGGAATATATTGGTAATGGGAATTTTCATAAGGTTTTAGATTTAAATCGGGAAATAGATGTAAGTGTAGATAGAACAGATTCAAGAATTGTGCGAGATTCAGGGTTTGATAAGATTTTCAAGGACATAAAGGTTCGGTTGAAGAAAGCTTATGAGAAGAGTAGTCAGAGATATAATTCACGACGTAGGGAAGTTCATTATCGAGTCGGAAGTCAGGTATGGCGAAGAATCATGTTCAGTCCAGTAAAGTTGACCATTTTAATGCTAAATTAGCCGCTAAGTACGTTGGACCATGTGTGATCAGGAAAAAATTAGGTACTTGTAGTTATGAGTTAGAAGATCTTAATGGTAAGTTGATTGGAGTCTACCACGTCAATGATCTTCGGCCGCATCCATCAGATTAGACAGTGCAGATTAAAGGTCATTCAACCTTTTTGTTTAGTGGGGGGGGAGTTGATACATTTATTTTGTTCTCAGCCCTGTATACAGAGAGTACCCACTATAATGGTTATCAATAGGAATAGCTTTTAACATCACCTGCGAACTAGTAGATCCTTGATCGGTTGTGAATTCCTGCAAACATTTTCACCCTCACACACATAGCTGCCCTATCGATGAAGGTCACTTTCGTCACAGGTTCACTGCATTCATTTAACACACACTACACTGCAGAATATTCAAAATATAGAGCGATCGTTCACCTTCGAAGCTGTTTCAGCTATTTTCGTATTTTTCGGTAGGTAAACAATGCGATTTGTCTCGGGGTCTGCGGATACCATTGCCGAGTAGTTGGCTGTAACTGGGTTGACCGTCGTCCGCTGAAAATCAACAAAATTATTAGTAGGTGTCGAGTTCCTATCGGGCGATATTCTTACCTTCTTTCTAGCAATCATTGGGATTTTGCGAAATAAAACCATTTTTCTCACTGACATTCAATAATAATAACATTGTAGGTTAATTAATATTAGTATCTGTCAATCGTTGGGATAGATCGGATTGTTCACCGCTGCCAACTTATATTATCTAGTGACAAAGTTTAGTGTAAGAATCTAGGGGAGTTTCGAACCCACTAGAATCAGTAGAATCTCGTACATAGTTGTACATCGTTAAGGGGGGGTTTGTTTAATATAATTTGGGTTTTATTAGATAGGTATTGTTATCTCGAGAGTGCAGATGCCATAAATTACGTTTGGCATGACTTCGTTTACCGAATTGATCATGTATTTTTCTGATCTGTCAAGTAGGGAATTTTATTGTTGTGAACCTAGAGTTTTGGTTCCTACAGTTGTCGATTCGTTTTTGGGAACTGGTTGGATTGACCAATAATGAGTAATATCGTCTGTCAATTTATAAGTAGACCAATGAGGTACTAGCGCGGCGCTTGGTTTTAGTGAGGTACCAATCAGACCAGGTATTGTGCTTGGAGTGGTGGTGCACTATAAAAGCGACCGGCACCAAGACTGAGGGGTCCAGATAATTTTATTCGGCCGATGAAGGTATTTTCATTTCGTCGTCACGTCGGAATTTTGCTCATGGGAGCACCCTTAGGCTAAAAGGGGATTAATTAATTCGATTGTGAATTTCATCAGGGGATATGTGTTAGAAGCTTTTGTGTGCCGTGTGGCCGTCTTGTTGATAACTCCGCTGATGGAAAAGAAAGCCGAAGGCCGACCACTTTCGTGAGCCCACCTGCCATCTTGGGTATGTTAGCTTCCTGGCTTTTCTTTTGTTTTTCTTTTGTTTTTCTGTCATGCTTGATTCACAAATGGGGTTTTCTTTATATTACTTAGGCTCTTCGTGGGGGTACTATACCTACCAAGCAAAATTGCTGGTCCACATCTTACTGTTGAAAATCGAGTAGTCTCGAAGGGGGACACATCTATATGGAGGTGCTGTGGCTGCCACTAAGAAACTGCTGCCACTACTTTTGCTGCTGATCATTGGGGAGTACAATTAGGGGATCTTTGCCATGACTGTAGGGTTCAGACTGCTTTGGCCCTATATGGAGTTTGCTGTTTGCTGCATAGTGTACTCAAGTACACCTGAATTCCAGCTAAGTACCACTACTTGGTTAGGGACACAATAAAATTTCACATGGCGTTTTACTTCTCATCTCACCTGATAATGTTTTTTTAACTATTAAGCTACTTACTTTATAGTATTCACTACCTGTTGTAAGTGACTGCGCAGTTACCCCTATTTTGAGCTGAATTCATTGTTCCATTTTTTTTGTTGTTTTATACACCACCATATGCACTCTTCTAGTCATATTGGTGCGTAACTTGCAATATATATACTTGACAATCATGTTAAATTAATCCATCAGTAATCATTAGTATGCTCACTCTCTCTTATAGTTGATTGAAGGATTGATGTCTTATCAATATATTATTATTTTGTTTTAATGCACTTTGGTGTTCCTACTCTGCACTCTTGAAACTACTATTATTAAAAGTCATTACTGAGGTGTTACTTTGTTGTTTTTTTATATATGCCCCTAGGTGACAATTCTGATGAGGTAAAGTACTTTTAGGTGAGCTTGGCCAATTGTCTGGCGCTCAATCCCACATCACAGGTAAAAAGATAAGTGTAATCACGAATCCACCCCCTAAATAGCCGGAGCTCACCATTTCATTATTCAACCAATAACTGAGTAATACTTTTGGATATATTACATCCTAAAGAAGGAATTAACTGTAACAAATTATAATAAATCTCTGTTCCGTTCTGAACATACCTAATATTACATAATTGAGGGCGGGAAGTAGAGGTGTGACACTTCCCAACCTCCAATGACGTTATCAATGACAACATTACATATATGGTTGTAAATAAAATAGTAATTTTCCTAACAAGTGCGGAAAGTTATTCTTTCCCGCACGCGACTGCCGTTGACACGAACGACGCGAAGCGGAGTTCGGGCAAGCAGTCGAGTGCGGGAAAGAAACTTTCCGCATGAGTTAGGAACAATATTTTTTCTACAAGCGTAGGAAATTGATTGATTCGTTCAATTAATTATTCAAGCAAATAGGAACAACTAACAAGAGATATATATTCTCTATCTACTAATTATTAGTAATAGCTATTGTGAACTCACAGTTTGACGCATTATGTTGGTTCCTTGGGGAAGCCAGCAGACCCATAAGGAGTTTGGTGTCTAGGTTTCAGACACTTCTATATGAAATAAACCAAAAATACCTATTCTTCATTCGGTATTTTCATTTCATTATTGTTGCACCATTCAATAAAACGCGTGTATAGCTTCTCATACCTTTCTCAAGACTTCGTTGGTAATAACGCATCTGTATCGAATCCCTATAGCTAGAAGTTTTTGATCACATTGTGGCATTTCCACTGAATCGAAAATTGACAGTAACGCTGTGTCTGTCACTTCGACAATTTCAAACTTATTTGAGGCTTGATTGGCATGACAAAAATAATCGTTTTCCATCAGATCAATCCAAATCTATAGGGGATTTTTACAATAATAAATTTAGATTTCTCAATATTTCTTAATTTTCACAATGAATAGTGCAATTTGATGGATGAGTCTGAACATACATACTTAATACTGCAACAAACAAACTTAAACTTCTATATTCCATCACCAACCATTTATATTATTAGCGATTTTATCATATCTTTTGTTTCCCGCACTGTTGCGTGCGGGTATAGGGTGAATCACGCACGCTTGCAGAGATTCACGGCTTGACTTGATATTCAAGCTTGAAATCAAGTCAAGTTCAAGTCAAGCGAAAGTTTTTCAATGGTCAAGTCAAGTCAAGTAATTATTTAATCAAGTACTTGAAAAATCAAGTAGTTCTATCAAGCTACTTGATTTTTCAGCAGTTTTATTGTGTATCTATACAGCGTGACTCACGGTCGATGTTATAGGTTAGACGTTTATGGAGAACGCGACGCGGGATTTTTCTGAAAATTTCGCATACACAAAAAATTCCTGAAGTTGAAAAATCTCGATTTTTCGCAATCTATATCTACATAATCATTTCCGCTATACCCCGAGTGTGATGTATCGATGAAATCAACTCTTCAAGGAGAATCTGAAAATGCAATAAAATACAGGGTGTTCAATTCGAAATAACAAAGTGGTTCCTACTTTTCTATAGAAGCGGCAACGTCGTGATTTTGAAAATATATTAGATCGATAGTACCGGTGATGAAATGTGAGATGCGAAATTTTCAGAAAAATCCTGCGTTGCGTTCCTATCATAAACGTGAAAGTCTAACCTACCATCGACCGTGAGTCACCCTGTATAGAACTGATGAAATGAAAATGGCATCGTAAACTGACTGCGCAATCGATTCAGTCAGCTCTGATCTCGGGGAACCCCCGTATTTTGTCTAAGCGTGAGCGAGCTTGCAGAAATATACGCCGTGCCGCCGTGCGACTCGTGCGTATCAAGATCAAGTATTATCAAGTAGCTTGATTTCAAGTCAAGTAATAAATATCTCAAATTCAAGTCAAGTCAAGTACGTTATTTGCCACGAGCTTGATTTTCAAGTCAAGTCAAGTAGGTTTGTTAAAATATCAAGCTACTTGACTTGATGAATCTCTGCACGCTTGTCGAAAAATGTATTTCCATTACCAGAGAAATCACCATTATTCAAAGATTTCGTCTTATGTGAAGTAACGATTTTTTTAAACTATGTAAATAATGATCAAGAAAATTCACCTAGGTGAATTATCCAAACTGCGAAATTCACTTAAGCTGAAATATTAAAGACGAACGATAGTTCTTCGTTGAAAAAATCCAGTAGGTCGGTTTTATCATCGTTCCCTATGTTATTCGTGTTGCTGTATACGAATCCGCATATAATTCCATAGAGTATGTGTGCGGTAGCGGAAAAACGAATCATACCTGATCTAAAGGTCCACTAGTTCCCGAGATACAGCGCTCCAAGTATGGGCAAATTTTTCACATTCGCATCAGAAACAATGCGAGTAGATTTTATGGTTCTCATAATTTGCAAAAAGCAAAACAGAAAATCGAATTTTGGAAAAAAATCAATGGTTAGTGACATGAATAAGGGCATAATACTTTGTATAAAAAGTTCTGTAATTGCGATTCCACATCTGGAATTTCTGTAAGAAAAAAAAAAAACAGGGAAAGTGTGAAATTTCTTGCACCCGCACATCGCCGTTGTACACCTCTTTTTCTGTGACGGGAAAAAAGTTTGTTACGTAAAATATCTGAATCTCAAGTATACAGAATAATAACAAAAGTCCCGTAATCAACAACTTGACATCTCCCGTCCACGTCAGGAGGCGACTAAGATTAACTACATACTGAATACAGGGTGCTCGATATGGCAATACATTATATACAATATCATAATACAACTGTTGCTGGTATAAAGCTATGTATTAGAGCGAGTATTATGAAAATGTATTACCTATTTATTGAAAACCGAAAACAACAATACATTTTCTAATGCTAAACTTATTGATTTAACAATGAATCACAAGAATAACATCAAAACAGATTTGACTAAGAACATGGATTACACAGTTTTGTTGTATCTTGAGCAGAAAGTAGGTAAATTCACGTCAAGAGTTGTAAGACATAATTGAACATCACACATCACTTAAATGACCTAACAGCTGATTCTCAACTGTTTAGAAGAATAATACAATCTTAAGAAAAGAAATTAGAATCGTGTATTGGTCGAAGCGTAGAACATTTTGAACACACACCCTAACTGATTCAATATTTCATGTTTCTAGTCAAATATCTCTTAATTTTCTACTTATGATTCTTTGTTCCATCAATAACTCCAGCACCAGATTAATTTTATTGTTTTTGAATCTGAATAAATAGGTAATTGAACTCAATAAAATTCATTTTATACCAGCATCATTACTACTCTCCATTATTTTCAAATCGAAATATTCCGAAAACGAAACATAGTATCGAGTTTCACCAAGAGTTCCTTTTTGGGTGTAAAATTGAATGAGGTTCAAGTTCATATCATATTTGGATTGAAAAATCTAACCTCAAAAAAGTTATTGTTCTAAACTACTCGGTTACTAACCGTGTAACTAGCGCCCTCTATGAGAGTCAGATATAAAAACAAATTCATGCGATGTGTCAGATTTCAAAAAACATCCGTACAAAATTTCGGCACAATGTTGCCAGTAGTTTCGACATAATCGTGAAATATGTGTGAAAAAATCATTTTTTCAACACTTTGTATCATGAAAACGGATGCCGTTACGACATTTTTCCACTGAGCAAACCCAACTTATTTTGCAGTGTTCTACCCTAGCAAGGGGGTCAGGTTTTTTGAAACACCCTGTATATATACTGTTGATGGCTTTTGTTGTGCTATTATAGTTCTGAAAAATAAGCCAATAACACCGTCTCCGAGAAAGTACTGCATGTCCTTTTATCTTCCATTCTACTTCGCGGTTACGTGAGTTACTACACAACCACTAAATTCGCATTTTTTGAAAATCAAATTACATGAGTAGACTGACAGATATTTGATTACTTCAAAAGAATGATAAAGATGCCTGCAACGCAGGTGTCATTCCTGTTAAATACTTCAAATTTCACGTCGATAATTTTCTGAATTTGATATAATCTCTTCTTCTCAATATTGATTCCTCCTTTTTCCTGTCACAGAAAAAATTGTGTAGTATACACGGGAAAAATATTAAATGTTAGCTCACAACCTAGAGCTAAAATCTACTACTTTTTTCCCTGGTATAATATTCCACACTTGCATGCAACCAGTTGTATTAGACTAGAGTACTCGAGATCATACCCCGTGGTGTTCACCCGAACACGCCCGATCGTTCCCTAAGCGGTGGGGAAACGTAAGCAGGCAGCAGTAAACTATCTCCCACCGCTATCTCTGACTACGTTATGAATATTGGCGCGTGCCTGAATTATTTTGGAGTCAAATTTGTCAATTTAATGTACTTCGAAACGGAACACTAGTAGTTGTGCCTTCTTGTTTTACATATATTATAGGTAGACATCAAATCAATAAACATAGTGCTCTCGCCATCGGTATTTGCTGAATTTCGCTATGGGAAAAATGTTGAATAACTATATTGGGATGAAGAATGATCTATACAGGGTGTATCGTATCTAAATAACAGCGAAATAATTCAAGGGATGATTCCTTGCTAAACTTGCTTCGTTTTCGAGGTACAGGGTTACGTCCTGATTTCGAATCCGAAGTGATTTTCAACCTATCTTGCCTCCTAATATCATTTTCCGGAAATGTTGGTGGGTCCATGACCAGAGCAGTGTTTTTCACTGAAGATTACCACAATTTGGTCATAGTTGGTATATATATATCTATCGCTCCTTAAAATTGAACAGTTACGTTAGATATACGGGTTGATATTCCATTATAGAAGTGACATGCACACTGTTTATATTTTTAAATACATCCAGTGGGATTGAATTTTATTTTATGTTGAATATTAGAGTGTGTTTTTTTATGTGATATATATTTGTTTTGTTTATTTCAAATATATATATATATATATATTTAGTAGGCATGTATTTGTTTCAATTAAATGGCATCAGTAGATAGTAAAAGAATGTTAGGATAGGGACACATGTAAGCCATTTTGACAAATCAATATAGGTATTGTATAGTTTCGATACAAAATCTCGATTTTTCACATTCTATACGTATAGGTATACCTTGAGCTTGATCAACGAAATCATAGCTCAATTAGAAGAATCGAAAAATGTAATAAAATATAAGGTGTTCCATTTTGAATAAGAAAGCTGCTACTACTATACTACTAAGTACTACATAACTACTAATAATAATTTCTAGTGAAGCAGATGAACATTATCGAAAATAATTTGAATAAAACGAGCGTCCTCGCCAACAAAACATAAGCATATAATATGTACATATAGTTTCATGATTTTCGATGAGTGGTTCGCTATTTACATGTTAGGACTCGTCGTGACATAGCGAATTATTGCAAATCAAATCATCGCTTTCATTATCTGATAGGTCGCAGTAGATCACTTGATGCCTATCAAATGTTTCTTATTTATTCGAAAAAAAAAAATGTTGAAATGTGATCAAGAAAACTGTTGGTGGCCCACCCCGTACTACAAAAACAAAGACAGCATGAGAGAAGCTGCCTGCCCACTCATTGTATCATGACTGCCTGCTTACGTCTTACGTCTCGGTCTTAGGTAACGATCGAGCGTGTTCGTTGAACACACGGGTATGATCTCGAGGCTCTTGTTTGAATTAGCTTGTCAGGTGCAGGGGCTGGTTGGAAGTAATGGGCTGTAAGCCGTTGCTTGTTTACTTGAAAGTGGCCATTTTTGAAGAGGATCTATAAGTTCTTATGAAATCTATACCGCAGCTCATCTAGGGGAACTTGCTTGTTTCCACTGTATACAAATCCTCCCGCGTCTGAAGTTTGATGGCAACTTTGTTTCCTTAAATGAGGGAGCAAACGCAGTGACACATTCAAGAAGTAGCAACGATTTTGTTTCAGCATTAGTGGCACGTCATTTTGAGTTATGCCACTATCACTTTGTGTTTCCTGTTATTTTAATCAAATGTACCAGTATGCTAAATACGTTTGGTTCATATATTTTTTGGTTACGGTAATTTCTGGTATTTTCCTATAAAGCAATCGTCTATATTGTACAGTTTTGTTTTATTTGCGCGGCGTGCTCACACCAAGAGTTAAGTTACAAATACGGATAATCAAACCATAGACTACATTCGAATTGGCAAGGTGACGATTCCGATACGACATCTGGTGGGCAAATTTGAACCAGTTTAAGACGTAATGCAAGGTCATGTTTGTTTTTGTGTTCATTGAGATTCATATTTAATGAATACCATATCATTTTATAAATTAGTATCAACAAATCTCTAAAAATACGCGAAATCAACTAGTAGAAGGTTCCAACGGAAAAATGTAGGACCTATAATGTCTTTCAAAATGAGTTTCCTGCATTTAAGAAGTCTATTCTGATGATGAAAAATCAGTTCAGTTGAATGGAAGAAATGCATAAACGTTGAGAATCCAATATGAATTTGAAAGCGGGATGTATGCAGCTCCAACAAAAACTTCCTACCTTTCTTCAGTTCATTGGTCCAATAATGATAACAATAAGTTTGGAGTGGCATAAGTACTTACAGTAAAACACATGTTTTGTCAATGTACATTCAATTTCGAAAATTATTATTAATTCAGTTCCAAAATATACAAAACATAATGAACTAGACAGGTAGATAGGATAGATATTTTCAATTAGATGAATTTAGTATTACAAAATAATATCGAATCACAAAATGTACGATAATATACTGTGCAAATACATTAACTAAAAATTCTAGGTCATTTGAGCAATGTTTTATGTGGTGGAACTCCAAATTATTCAATGATTTCATCAATATGGTGAAAAAACTAGCTTTACAAGGTATTAAATGGATTCCAAGATGAAAACTCAGTCTAGGATGCCACCTACCTCAACTGTAAGTATATTATGAATATATAAATTATCTTAAATTATTATATTAAATATATGGATTATTTCGTTCCCTGCTGCTTCTCTCGATAGATAGCAGGAGAATCAGGTATTCTGTTTCGTCTCCTCTCATAATCTACCAAAAAAAGCAGTGGAAAGTGACATTGTAAAACATTTTATAAGCATTCCCTCGAGGGAATCGTTCTCTCGATTCAAAAATAAGGCCCCTGGCAAGGAAAGAAACTCCAAAACAGGAGTTTGTTATTTTTATCATTTCCACGGGGTTTTTATTGTATCAATGTTGTAATTTCTGTATTGTTTATATTCATTCGTTTATTAACAGTGATTCATTTATTCACAGGTTCCGTTTCACCCCTTTTTGGAATCGACCTTCCTAGCTGCTTCGTCAGAGCCCACGTGATCAAGAAATCATCAGCTACCTGCCAAAGGAAACTAAAGCACTGACCAGAAGAATTGTGTGGAAAATGGAGAATAGTACTGGAAGTTCGCGCGATGATGAAACCCAAACCACCGAACGTGCGTTTAAATGCCACATTTGTCAAAAGCAATTCAATAAAAAGCAATTTCTGAACAAGCACGTCAAAAGGCACACTGGAGAAAAACCGTTCCAGTGTGACATATGCCGGAAGAGATACATCGAGAAAAACAGTCTGGCCATTCACATAAGAGGGCATAGTGGCGAGAAACCTTTTGGATGTTGTTATTGTCAAAAAACATTTGCCCGTAGGTCGGCTTCGATTAGGCACACCAGCAGAGTGCATACAGGCGAGAAACCATTCGAATGTAGTTTTTGTCAAAAAAAGTTTGCCAGTGAGCCTGATTTGATCAGACACTTTCGAGTGCACACGGGCGAAAAACCTTTTGGATGTGTTTTTTGTCCGAAAAAATTTGGCATGAGAACTAGTTTGAATAGACACATCAAAGTGCATACTGGGGAGAAACCGTTCCAATGTGATGTGTGTCGAAAAAAATACGCCTGTAAGATTGAGTTGATTAGACACTTCAGGGTGCATTCTGGCGAAAAACCTTTTGAATGCGATTTTTGTCCAAAAAAATTTCCCAGGAAGAATAAGTTGACTAAACACATAAGAGTACACACTGGCGAAAAACCTTTCAAATGTGGTTTTTGTCAAAAGACATTTTCCAGTGAGGCTGGTTTTACTAAACACATTAGATATCATACTGGAGAGAAACTTCTCGAATGTGACACTTGTCAAAAGAAATTTGCCAGTAAAACTGATTTGACTAGGCACATTGGAGTGCACAGTGACGAGAAACCTTTTCAATGTGATGTTTGTTTAAAAAAGTTCAGATTAAGAAGTCACTTGATCGGTCACAGTAAAGTTCATCAAATTGTGATACCTTCAGAAATTGATGGAATGGAAGAAAACGATGAAGTAGAAGACGTTAAAGACATTTTTTCACCTACAGAATTTACTTCTGAATAGTGACTGTAAAATTCAGATATATGAATCATGTAACTGCAGTAAACCAATAATATGGAACAATTCATTGACCCATTCAACCCTGAAACTATTTTCTTGAAATCAATCAATAAAAAGTCCAATAAGTCGAGAAAAATCATAAAATAAATGTTCGATCTTCAGTTTTGGAAAAAACAGCGGTCCTTTTAAAAGGACGGCATATAGGATAAAGGGCTACTATTAGAGAAATAAATGTATATCTGAAAATATTTTTTTATGTAATATCTAGCAAAATTTTAGCTCCTTCAGAAGTGACAAAGATGTGAGAACATTGTAAAAAAAAGGGGCGAAAGGGCTGGAGAGGCATATTTTGTAAAACATCTGCATATGGGAGAACGTACGCTCCCAAACCCGTGTATTTATGTTTGTATGGAATTGTTGTCCGCGCACCTTGGTGGGGATCAAAATAAACAATGTATCTACTTGAAATTTGTACGCCCACCTTATAGGCTTGCCTCTAATGAATATTTTACCGCAAAATACGGTATAGCCTCATCAAAACTGTGATTCAAGATCAAAAACTTTTTACTCAAGCTGTTGAAAAGAGGAAGCAGTTCAGAGTACTTGTGATTATCATCATCATCAAAGTAAGTATGAATAATTGAAATATCTATCTTTGGAAATAGCGGCTGAAAAAGGTTTGTTGCAATTTTGACAATACATATAATGTCGCATTGGAGCAGTTGCATATCTACTGACAAGATACACCCCTTATGAAGCAGTACATCTCGTCTACTGCAGTAAAGTTACCAGGGCGGTTTTTTTGTTGTGCATATATATTTCAAAAACAATGACAATTCATCCTGCAAAGTTTTTATCGAGGTTTTTATCAAAAAACAACTTGAAAATATTTTAATGGAAACGATTACTTTGTGCAGTTTGAACTGATTATTGCCATTGCATGAACGTAGAATCTAAATCTCCATTGAGGGTATAGTGAAACGTATTTTTGAGTTTAGGTCGCCTTTCAACACCATCACCTTCCACGTCAAATTCAATTCACGCAGTGGCCCTTAGTTGCCCATCGGGTATTTTATTTGGAACTACACCATCTTCATCGGTATCGCAGTTTTCGTTGGCATTTAGGGTTGAAAAATTATAATGCCCGCCCGTAGGAATGCCCGGCGTAGTCATTCTTCAATTCCTCTAAGTGCTTTGCCATGGTTAGTGGCTTTTCCAATACCTGCAAAAAAACGCATAGTAGCATATAATCCTACCGTCCTTTTAAAAGGAGTCGTTCAAATGAACGCCCCTGGATTGATCGAGAAGTGTGAAACATAACCACAAATATAAACAAATGTGAGTCAATTATGTAATTCGTTAAAAATGATCAAAACAATAACAACGGAAAAATTAATGAGTCCCAACATGTCTTACCTTAGTCACCCATTGCAAAATTACTAGGAACACAGCGTTTTTCAACGGTCACTAAGGTCACTATATCGATCCAAAACTTAACAAAACCCTAACGATCGCGATCGACCTTGTTTAATATGTCAACTAAATATAATGTGACACTGTCGACATCTGCAAACCGTCAGTTTGAAATAAAAAAATAAAAGAAGGCATCAACAATAATGTCATTAAGGAATAGCTTTTCTGAGGGTCGTATGTCGAATGTACTCAATGTATGATCGACGTTATTTTTGATATCAAGTAGGTAATAATTACAGCGGTTTCTTATTCTAGTTTGAACTCTTGGCATCATGCGGAATTCCATAACCTATAGTCACAGATTAACAATTTGTTAATCTGTGCTATAGTAACCTAAAAAAGAAAAACCTAATTAACTCTTGAAGAACTGATTCATCAAGTATTTTTCAAGATTCTAACATTTTTTCACAGTAATTGTTAATCCACCCCTTGTACAAGGAGATGTTAACAGGTTGCATACGGAATGGTTGATTTATTTGTCAGGCATTAATCATTATACAGGGTTACTGGTAATTCGATACATTCCTTTGGAGATGTAATAGGATAGGTGGTAAGGAGTGAATTAAACCATGATATGCCTTATGCAAAAGTTGATAGTTTTCGAGATTTTTAAATTTTTCTGTTTTTCTCCAAAATGTAGACTTCAATAGTTTGAAAGTTAGTTTTCCGAAAATCTGCTCTACATTTTTTCATCCTTTCAACTAGAATACATGATCAACACTATGGTTTTATGTTTCAAATAAAAAAATCCAGAAATAGATAAATTGTGAATACAAAGTCGTATTTTTGTTTGTGAATAAATCAACAGATAAACAGAGAAATGTAAATATCTCAAAAAAAAATGTTTCTTCCGCATAATTCATATTAAGGTTAACTTCACTTCCTACCACCTCCCCTATCACATCTCCAAAAGAATGTATCGAATTATCAATAAGTATTCAAGCCAAAAAAGGGGTCAACCTCAGAATGACAGATAATAAGCTGGAAAATCGTATACACTTTTATTTTGACGTTCTGGGGGTCTATTCATCATACGTATGTGATGTATATTGAAGTGGAATAGACGATCAAATCCGTATATGAAATTTCCTCGAGAATAGACCCCCTGATAGTTGTCTCAAATCAAGGTCTCAAAACTCTCAAATGTCTCATTAAATCTCGTGTCTGCCCGTGTCTGCCCGTTACTCGTAGTCTCGATAGTAACGGTATGTATACAGTCTGTCCAAGATAAGGTTGAACAGCATGGGGATCTCGAAAACGGTAAGAGATACGAAGGCTCATATCAAGAGCCTTCGAAAATTTTAAAAATTATTTTTAGTTTTTGAGTTATATCGAAAAAAGTGAAGTTTTGGAATATTTATTTTATTTTTTTTTTCTCCGTTATTGTTAGAGATACAGCAAAACTGAGAATACTTTTTCATAGCAACTTTTGATGACGTTCATTGGATTTCACATACGTCAAACGACCACAGGCCACAGAAGCACGGGACGTATGGAAATGTTGTTTATCTGTCTATATTCCGAATTCAACTGGTCAGTACTGTCAGTAGATCCACTGAATCTGCTGAAAATTTGTGTTCCGAAATATAAAATCAAAAATACAGTGCTGTAATTCGGGACACGTTTTCATGGCTTTCATCAGTAGTCAGCAGCAGTTGATCAGCTGGTGAAATTTGTCAGTCGGTAGTTTCTCATTTATCTGGACTAGATATTTGATATTTATTATTCAACATGGAAGAGCAATCGATTCTTGTAGCCTCCATAGTTTCTACGATTATTGACGATGACGATTCAGATTCAGGCTCGAGTGATAAAGAATACTTGGACATTTTGTTGCCATTAATTACGAATGATGCACGAGATTGAGAATTGAAAGATTTATAGAAAACGTAATGATGATGAATTTAGGAGACATTTCAGGTTTATTTAGTTATTTATTTAGCCAATGCTGCTTCTTCTTCCGTTACCTCTACTACTTCATACTCAATATTATTCTCAGTGCTTATCATATCAATAACAGGTATTTTCTGATATTGAGAATAATATATTATTAACAACGGAAATGAATGTTACATTCCTTCCCCCTCTAAAATAATGACAGTTCACTGAAGCCACACTACCTTTCGATAGTCAGCAATTTCAGCAGAATGTTGAGTCGAAATATTTGGAATAAATAGTATGGGTGCGTTTTTCATTCCAACATTTTATCATGCGCATGAATCGAAGAAACCATCAAACTGTTGCAAAATTCCGCTGGAATGTTGATGGACATCCATCAAACTGTTGTAATAAAATGCGCACTTTTAAATCGCATTTCGAGAATCCAGCAGTTTGGAGGAGATTGACATGACCGTTGACACATTTTAGTGTTGTTTTTTGTTTTGATTTGATAGAAAACAATTAATATTGAGGATTTTTGAGATTCTTGAGAGATTTTAGAAGAAAGAGTCAGTGTTAATCAATAAAGTCGAATTAGCCTTTTCTGATTCTCAAGATACATTATGACTGACACACAACAAAACCGTG